ACACTCAAGTCTGCTTCCCCAGCAGCATCATTGTTCCAAATGGCTGAAACTCTGCAGTGAAGTTATGACCAAATTCTTGCCTTCACGTTCTTGGGAGCGATGCCAGCTCTCATTATTGTCCTGATAGTTGGCACAAATTCTCATCAGTGGAACTGTGAGCAGAATTTGGCACCTGCTATCTCCTCCATTGCAAGCAGGCATTTGAAATCATTTACGATTGCTAAAATAACTTCTGAACCTTTTAAACTTCCCTGTGCTTCATACTTACAGCCATTTGCAGTGCACCCTTAGGTGGTGCAGTACCTCTTTAAATTTTATTAAAACTTTCTAGAACTGCTTACTTTGAAAACAGAAAGGGATGAGTTTGTAAACTGTAAATAACAAAATTCTATTTATCATGCTATTTATTTTTTCAATGACTGTGACCTTATGCACTGTGAATGCTCTGTGTATATGGGGTCCTTTGTACAGATGAATATGTCATGAAATCCATATGGATTTAATGTGATAATTTGTTACAAAATGTTGGCATGATATTTGATTATTTTTGTTGTGGAAAATTAAAAATAAATAGTTAAATAGGCATTTATAAAAGAATCTAGCAGTCAGTATGGTAATGCACTATGTTATTAACACATGTACACTATCAATAAATTATACAAGAACTACTGGATTGTATTTTTCTCAGGTGATGCGACCGTGTGAAGCGTTCTCTTATTTATTGTTGAAAATCTAAAATTTCAGGACCCAGCTAGGATATGTGCCTGCACTTTCTTGCTGAAATCTGGACTCTGCTACACTGAAAGACAGAAGGCCCACATTTTCATCTGTTCAAGGGAGTATCACTTGGATCAAGCCATTTTGGGGTGAGTCAAGTGTATCAGTTTGATCCACAGCAATTTCAAAATGCAAGATTTGCTCTTTTGGTACTAGAAACGTTTGGTCTGCTGAGAATATCGTCTGCTGTACTGAGGCATCAATCCAGAACAAATACGGCAATCTCAGAAACATCCTTATCCAGTATTTTGTCCCCATGGTACAGTGGAATCCATCAGGTTCCCATTGGGTGCTGAATGCTGACAAAAGGGAATGGAAGCATGATCTAAAAGCCCCATAGTGCTATTTCACCTTCCCAGACACCTAGGCTCTGGAGATAGCAGAGAAAAAAAATAGTCCCACTTACTCTTGATTGCCTATTCCAAAAGGCAGACATACAGCTATCTTATGACTTCTAGGGTACATGCACAGTCTCTGTATGCTGTATATTCTGGGCTGAAGGAAAGCTTCTAAACTCAGTTCTTTGAAGAAGGAACCTTACTCCCATATACTATATTTTTTAACTATTCATGAGGCAAGAGTCTTCCCATTAATACTCTTTGCCAGTTTACCCCAGGTGACAGAGATAAAACTTTGACCTTATTTTCCATAGCCACACTGCATGCTTTTGTATAAAACCTGTAATTAGCCACTGTGTTTTTGTGTATTTACAGGAGAATCCTTGTGAAGTGGAGAAAAGCAATATCCTGCTTTCTTTGACTTTTGCACGAGGGTTCATTCTTTGGTATATGCTAGGCTAGGTGTTTCTAAGGAAATGACTCCTCTTCCCTACAGAATTAACTTCCAAGAATCAAAATCTGGCTGTAGAAAGTACCATTCTTTTAATTCCCTGTACGTTTGACCTCATGACCCATCGTGACCTGTTATGTAATAGGCTTTATAAAAGGCACGTAATCTATGGATTAGTGACACAGGAGGCATGACAGCTCCTGCAGGAATATACCATGATGCAGCTGCATCCTACTGTGTGAAAAGCAGAAATGTCACATAATCTGTGCATGTGCTGAAAGCACTTCAATAAAACCAAACTGCACTTAAGTGCTTCTCTCATTTTTAAACCTTCTCAACTTGGCCAAATGGTGTGGTTTAAGATGGAAGGGGTGAATCAGCCTTAAAAAAGGACAGGAATTTCTCCCCCCTGCATCTAGCTCACACTGATATTGCAGCAATCTGTAGGCTAAAAATTAGTTTAATGAATATGTCACATCTAAATAATTCTCCAAGTTTTCTCTAAAACCTGTTTGGCTTGGATGTATCTCAGAGAAGTGCCGTTTTGCAGTGTTTGTCATGTAGCTTTTGTACAACTGTGTACCACAGCCTGATCCTACAACACAGCGTCTCACTCCAAGCCCGTCGGATCTCTGGCTTAAGAAAAAACACACAGAAAAGCTCTGAAAAAATATATTAAAATTCGTCCTAATTTCCATTTTTTATGTATTTTACAGAAATGCTTATACAATATTGCAGAGACGCTAACATATTTGTGAGGGAAAAAAAGAGTCTTTTTCAAGAACTTTTGCCCATTATCTTTAACAGAAATACTTTCAAAACTTCACATTTCTGAACCTGTACCATTATGAATTGTGTGAAAGTTTTCACAAGAAAGCAAAAAAGAGCTTTTCTCAAATAATGTCAAACTGAAAGACCACAATACTGTATTTTGTATTCTGTATTTTTGCAATTTTTTTCCTGTGTTTTTAATAGTACTTCCTGCCTGACAGCATTTTTGGAAATGCCTGTCGCTTGCTGAAAACTGATCTTATGCATCTATAGGGTCTTATTTCTTTGCCTAGGATGACTGCATCTTTGTGTAAGCACAGATTTCTCCATCTGAGTAGGTTCATGCAGAACAGCTCACCCTTAAAGCTTTCTACCCTTGTTTCCCAGATAAGCAAAGGTAAACTCAGTATCCCAGTCCTAGCCGGGTTGCAATGTAGGGAAATGAAATGGTGGCGTGGGGCTGAATTTGTGGAATGTATCTAGAATCTTGTTCTTATGCTAATACCCAAGGTGTATTTCAAAGGCGACAAGCTGGAGAACAAGTTTGGAGCGTACTTCTTGGATCTCTGTGCCCAGAACCAACAGTACTGCAGCTACCGGAAAGATTCATGAGATATGACAAGCCTGCAAAGAGGGATGAGTGAATCTCAGCCAACCAGTTTGCTTAAGAGTTAAATGCAACATTGAATTAGTTTGTAATTGTCTAACTGGCAACATGAGTTCGAGCGAAGAAGTCCTTAATTTAGTAAAAGAGAATATAATGAGATACAATAACAGAAATCTTAAGACTAGGTAAGGCAAAATGTCTGGTCTGAAATCTAGATGATACTGATAATTAAACAGTAAGACGCCTGTAGCAGGGTTGTGGATTTTCCATCATGCAGCCTTTATATCAGCTCTTTGATTTTCTAAGAGAAATCCTTCTGGAAGCTAGAAGACAGGTTTCCCAATGCCAACACAATATTTGACTGAAAAACCCTTGAGAAATGTTTATCTTGAGTTACACAAATGGGTCTAGATTACAGGAAGGTTCCCCGGTTCCTCCAAGCTCAAGCTAGCAGAACAAGTTCTGTGTTCTACATAAGTTTCTCATGCGGATACACTGGGAGCTGCCCAACGTTTCCATTTCTAAGGTGGGCTACATGGCAAAGTACTTACTGGACAATAGAAAGCTGAGAAGTTTCTTCTAAAAATAAAAGGAGAAACAAGTTACTGTCATCTCCTCTGTTCCAAGCAATTACTTTTCTTTGCTTCATATTTCTACTTTGCTTTTTTCCATTATGCATTCTTCCAACATCAAATATTTCCTGAATAATAGAGCTGCCAAGCAGGAGTGCCATTAGCCCTGTCTGACAGCACATCTGTCAGCTCCCAGCCTCCACAGCTGGTCTGCGTTCAGTTGGGTTTTCAGTACAGCAAACTACTCAACCACTTAAGTAACTCCAGGTCAAACAGACAGCTGTTCATTTACTAGCAGTCTTACAGCCTTATCATTACCTTCTGCATTAACTTCTTTGCATAAATGTCCTCTGCCTGTGTTAGACATTTCATTTTCCCAGGTCCTGTGTAAATATAAAGGTTTCCAAGCTCCATCTGGTTCCAGTTACTCAAGCAATAGAAATACACATGCTTCAGGAATTTGCAGACGGAGACTTAATGCTTTGCTGCCTTATAAAATCCTTTACAAAGTTCACCATGCTCTGTTGCCTACTGATATACCTGCAGTCTGTAAAACAAACTCCCCTGTATTTACTTAAGTTAGAGAAACAAAGTAGAAGCTGACAGTTTCAGGCCCTTCTTTCTAATAAGGTTAACCTGCCTTCACTACTAAATATGGCTTTCTAATATATACACACACACACACGCACACACACACACACCCTTGACCACCAAAGACTGCCTCTTCCTGAAATCCCCCATTCATATAAATACAGGAAGTAGAAAGAAGAGAGGCTAAAATCAGACCTTCTTGGTAGTTTGCTTTCATTTCAGTGCCTGTTTAGTCGTCTGCCCTCCGATATTACTGAGCCTGAAGTTGGTTTTAAACGTCCTCCCCCTGCTGCCCCTTGAAATATCATCTTCAATACAAAACCAGAGGATGTGGATGTTCTGCTCAGCGATGGAAAGGAATTGCTTTCTTTACCAAGGAACTCTAAAGCCACTGTGAAACAGAAAGTGTCTTAAAGTTTGCTGTAATGATGAAAACATCAGCCCAAGATGAGGGAGCCAGGGATGACTCAGGGTAAGTCCTGAAACTTACATGACTGTTTGTTTCTAACAACTACGTTGCTTTGCTTTTCCCACTTAACAAAGAGCTCTCAGCTGCATTTGCAAGCTGGCCGGGGAGCTCTCAGCTATACATTCACACTGGTGTGGCATGTTCATGCTGTAATTTACAGCATTTCCTTTAGCTAGCGTCTGCAAGCTGAAAACAAACAGCACTACCTTTATTTGACTTGAATCTCAGCTATTTAGGGGAGCATAAGCACAAATTTTGAGCTGCAATTTAGGGAAAGGACAGAAGAGAGATCTGTGTTTTGGAAACGCTATGAGTCTTTTCTGGGAGGCTTGCTTTATTTCTGCTGAAATGCTGAGCATTGGGTAAGGGCATCCATGCAAGCTGGCAGTCACTCCAGATCTGTGTAATGAAAGTATGCACAAACCGTGTCCGCAGACTCCCAGGAGACTTCAGGTATACTTTTGGTGAGGAAAATATTCCAGGCTTTCCTTGCTCCTGGTGGACAGGCGTTGCAGCTTGCAGGTTCATGCTCCGAGAAAACATAGAGAGGGAGAGAATGGTTTTGATTTGGAGGACAGTCAGCTGCTGGGACTCCAGGATCAGGCTGGAATCTGACCAAAGCTCAGTTATAACTTAAAGCTGATCCCTGAAGCTGAGCATTTCTGTTTCCTGTTTAAAACAATCAGGGGAAAATGACATAGCTGCTGAAAACTTCCATCACCTTCCTTGGAAAAACATGTAATGCCAGATAATAAGAGTGGTTTTTATCTGTCTGATACACTTAGATAGTCTCTTTCCCATGAGTAAGAGCTCCCAGACATGTCTATGATGGGTGCAGTAGAAGCTGTATAGGTTGAGGGATGTGTTGTGTTTGCATTTTCAGTCACTGAGTATGCTGCAAGTCAAACTCAAAAAGGGGGTAAAAATGGTGCTGGCAGGCAGCTGTAGCTCCACCATACCACTGTTCCTAAACACGCACATGGAGTGAAGGGGACAGAAGGAAAACCCTGCTTTCATTGCTTTTGGCTTCATATTTTTTACTAAGCTGCCAGCAACAGTGTCATTCCTGTTCAAAGGTACAATTACTCAGTTCAAGTTAATGTCAAACACTAAAGGATAAAGATCACGCACACAGCCTTGAGGGAAAAATAAAAGAAGCCAATCGCAGTAGACTGACAGGAGGAATTCAATAATCCAAAGAATTTGCACTTTGCAGATATTCCCTGCATTTGTGATAGCGAAGATGCCACGGACTGAGAAAGTGGAAGATTTAAACTGTTTATCTCTTTCTCAGCTTGGTTGAAAGGAGCCACATGCTTGCAAAGATTTGCGGTCTGTTTAGAGCTGCAGAAGAAAATAAGACATAAGCCCTGGACTTGGGCAGTAAATAAGTGATTCCAGGAATGTTGAAGTATGAATGGGCATGGCACATGGGGTTCAAAAATAAGTGATAATCTGAATAATTTAACAACATTCCTTTATTTCAGTAACTGATTTTTTTTATCCACCGTATTATCTATCTCCCACTCTTAAATAAGAATTTATGTATTTAAAAATTCTGTTTTAGCTCTGTTTATGTGCCACAATATTCCTGAAGATCCTCAAAATTACACTTCAGCTTGCATACTTTGTAGCCTGCAGCACATTACAGAATTACTCCTGACTAATTTTCTGTTATGGTCACATGCAATTAGGCACCGATTTCATGAAGTATGTGTAGACAAAATCAGTAACTTTCAAAAGAAATGGTTGTAGAGGTAAGGTGCTGATGGAAAATTTGGGCCCAATTTTAAAATTCTGAGCAGAAAAACTGCACGAGCAATTGCTGAGATTGTGCTTTTATCCACCCGGGTCTTCAGGGTGTTAATTAAAGGTGAAAGCTTTCTTCCGTGCACAGAACTATGACAGTGCAAATCGTTACAGAACTATCTTGTCAATTTGGAAGCTATCCATGTATCTATTCCTTGTAATGATTGACAGAGTTCATGTTGCTCGTAGCAAATCAATAGGGAAGTTCTGCTGACTTACACCTCTGAAATGGCTGTAAGACTGGGGAGAAATCTATGTCCAAAACTAAAAGCTCCACAGGGATGAGTGTGGGGAGGAGGGTAACTAAGGGTAACTAACAAAAATCAGTCTTAGTGAATTCTTCCAAAACTGGTTGGTGAGGTTACAACCACTTATCCTGACCTAGAGTCGAGCTAACTTAGCTAGGAACATTAATAAGTGATGAGATCACAAAACATCTGGAGAAATGTGAGCTGATTGAGCCTGGTGGCTACGGTTTCATGAAAAGGTATATGCCTCCATTCCAACATCTGGTAAATGCATGGAGGAGATGATGAGAAGAGCAGATAGGAGCTGAGACAGATGTCACCTGCAGTGTGCAAATATAAATAGTCTTTCAGGATAGTGGCTGGTTCAGGCCATTGGAATGAGTTACAGTGGTTCTCACTTTCTGGGTGACCAGGCTAGCTAATGAAGCGATGATTGTACATCTCTTCTGCGACATGTCTACCTTCACAATTGACAGTGATTTCATGCAATTTATGTAGAATAAAGAAATGAAGAACTGGAGGAGTCTGAGAATTGAACCTCTCATATTGGTTCACAGAGGACTGTTTTGATTATCTAATCTGATCTCCTGTGCAGAGGAGACCAGAGAACAGTTCTGGTAAGCACTCTGTCAAAACCATCATTTATCCTGGAATGGGATCTTGTAGATAACTTGTTGGCCAAAAAATGTCACCTATCAAGTATCTCTCCTGCAAGATTACACACCTTGCTCTGTAGTGATGTAAATAAATCTAATGCCAACACTTACAGATAAAACAATGAAAAAAAAACAAACAAAAAACCCATAAGTTTTCTCTAGAACTGTCCTATGAGAAGAACTATAAACTAACCTTTTTTGAACTAGTGGACAAGTTCCATTGGCCCTAGGAGGTCTGGGGCACAGTGCAAAGTGCTGCTCAAAGAAAACATTGACCTGGAATGTGTGAGATGCAGTGTTTAGGTGGGGTTGGCAGCAGGGAACAAATCAGTATTATCAAATCACTCTGCTGTCTGTCAAGCTCTGATAAAGGAGGAAATTTTCCATTCCCAGAGGATGATGCTACTCAGGAAGGAAATGGCTATGTGTTGCACCAGGATCAGGAAATTACTGCAAACATACAAAGAAAGAGGTGCTCCCTAAAGACACGTGAGTTTGATGCCTTCAGAGAATGGATTTGAAATCCCCTGGAATTTATTTGACACAGAATCATGTTTGCTCACTCGTCTTGTGATCACCACCAACCTTAGTGACTGCTTTGAGCATTTGTGCAACAGTGTGCTGGAGCAAAAGACAACTGTCCTTTCTCTTGCTAGGGCACAGACCATGCTGGAAATACTGACCTTGAGTGGGGAACTCCTCATCACTGCAGACAGTCCCATATCAGTGTTCGTAGAATGCAGACACAAACATAAACAGCCTTCTGTTCATCTCCTTTCCTTTCCACTACAATTTCAGCTAAAGATAGTTTTTCACTTCCTGTCCCAAGTGGGTATGCACAGTTTTGTATTGCTGGCTTTCCAACCTAGAGGCAGTATGGTCTGTAAAATGCACATGAGTGCATGCACCTGTCTCTCTCTCTGTGTACTGATACTCACCTTGATCAGTGTGTCCCAGAGAGTAGCTCTGAGGGTTGCTTGGCACAAATTTGGGTTCACTTCAACCTTTACCACACCATATGTATATAGCTGACATATCTAAGAGAGGATTTATTTTGCCTATTTATTCATCCACGAATATGATGAATATGCCCTTTTATGAGGTCAGCAATATAGGCTTGTGAGACTCAGAAGGATCTCTAACATGAACTAAAAAAAAAAAAAGACATGAAAAGCAAATAATTAAAATGAATCTATTAGAAAAAGAAGCTGCATCAAGAGTCACTTCTCGGAGCTTTAATTGCTTTCCTGCTTAGATTGCTACAGAGCACAGAAACTTAAGTGAGTTAGTGAAACTAGTCCAACATACTGTCCATCACAAACATTTAGCCATTTTGGAAGGGAGAAAGCTTTTTTCATTTGGGAATAGAAAGAAATATTTCTTTGGAAGGGTAACTAGAAAGAAAAGGCAGCTGTTCAGAATAACTGACCAAATTCTGACCACAAGAACTGTGACAGAATCCACAGATGGATCTGTGAGAAGAGGGTAGGTATTGCCATCAAAGGTGACTAAAAGCTGTGCAGTGTCCCCAGAGTCTCATCAGACTTTCCTAACTATATGTTTGAAGCGTACATGCTGCAAAGACTTTAGATTTACCTTCAGAGAATAACTACAGATTAAAACTGAGAAGAACGGGTGAAGACTGTTTTACTGTAGAAGAGTAGCTTTAAGAAGACTATCAAGAACCAGTGGAAGTAGTTAACGCAAAGTCATGCTTAAAAGCCAATTCTTGCAGCTCTAGAGGGACGTCTCAGGGCTTTAGATCACTCAGTTGTCTTTAATTCAACTTCTGTCCACCCCACCCAATGCACACACACATGCTTTGTAGGGTTCAAAGGAGCTCCCATGACCTCTCACAGCTGGCTGTGGTCCCTGCAGAGTCACTTTTCTGTAACCAAACACAAAATCCACCTGCCTCTTCCTTCAACTTCTCCACCCCTGGGATTCCAGCTGGCTGGGCCTTCACACCGGAGCTGACCCCTAAGGAGGTGGGATTACAGATGGATTTCTACCCAGGGGCGATGCAGCCGTTTGCCACAGGGTGTTTTGCAGCACTGAAACAGTTTGAGGTAAGGGCTGCAGTCAGCAGTGAGCATGTCCTAATCCTTACAGGGATCTAGGGATGCTATTGCAATGCAGATAAGTAGACTGCTGAGCATTTGGTGCTTATTTTCAATAATCATCCAACAATTCAAGACTTCCTTGCTGATTTTACCTCTCCTTATCACAGTTGTCCCATCCCATTCTCCCTGTTGTTGGCAATCCATACAGCACAAGCATGTATGTGGCTGTATTTGAGCTGTGTGCTGGTGTCAGTTCAGAGCAGCTCCAGCAGAGAAGAGCTGAGACAGAAATCCATCTCAGGCTGAGGGGTGCTTGCTTTTCAGAGGGACAAGGCAAGCTTTCAGCTGGTGTTTTTGACTGTGAAGTTTGTGTGTGTGTATGTGTGTATGAGTTCAGGATAAATAGGACTGCAAAGCAGCTGTGGTTAAGTAAGCAGCGTTATTTAAGCTGTGCAAGTATAATAGAGCAACAGGCATCACCCAATATGGTAAATACTGTAGCTACAAGCCTTTCCTCTGACTGTTTTATACCTCTCTGAGCTACCCAACATAATTCTACCCACTTTCACAAATGGGATCCCTCAGTCAGAATATCTTGCCAGAGTGGGGATGCTAAGGTAATGCTTCCCTTGGGGTTTCAGCTGCAAGAAGTTTGGAGTGCCTTAGCTCCTCTTTGCCTGCACCCAAAATAGTATAAATCTTTTTTGCAAGTGAAGATGATTACTTGAGCAGCAAAGGATTAGCAGATGTGAACACTGCATAGCTGGTTCTGTTAGTCACATTTTCCTAAATAGTTATTCTATTATATGTATGCGA